AAAAGTAGTCGTAATTGCTTCAGTGTGTTGCTTTTCCTTTAAATAACTGATGTTAAAGCATGAATGGCCAAAGGTACGAATCTTATCCTCATCCTTCAGACTGGCAACAGACTGGCATTATGCCACCTGTACAAACTGATCACGAACACGGATGTTGTGTTTTGACATTTCTGAAACATACATGATTTTCTCAAATCTGGTCTTAAACATAAGATACTTCTACTCCATTATCCTTCCACCGTATGGATTTTTTTCATCTACTGAGCATAAATCATGAATAAAAAAAACATTATTGATTCTTGAAGGCAAGTCAGTCTCACTTCAATTCACCCTGCTCTGACTCTGCATTACCAACAGTGAGACTACAGCTAACACTTTTGGTTTTTGTTTGCCACAAGTTTTGATCATTCTAGGTGGCCCTTACTGGAACACTCTTTATCTGGCTGACGTTAAAGACTGTTTACACGCAATGAACTGAAAGTCTATTACCCAAAGTCAGCGCAACACTAAAACGAGGGGGATAACAAACACTGCTATGGACCTATTCCATGCTATTACACTATGCATCCGGCTTCATTTGGCTCACTGTTATGACTGAAAATACATTTGAGCGATAAAAATGAAGTAAACATAAGAGGCTCTCTCATATGCAGCCACTACTCTTTGATTGCAGTGACCCCTCGCTCTTTGGTAAAGCAAATGTTTGGTAGCAAGCCAAGAACACTACATCTCATTTTCCCACCAAGTGAACTGCTGAAGCAGCTCCCTTAGCTCTTCAGCTGCATCTGCTTTGGGATCCTAAAGTCTTCCGATGGAGTCCAGGTGGCTCTCCGACTCTTTTCAACGTTCAAACACTACAGCCAGCCGGACAGCCGGCACTAGGGGAAAAGTATCGGGCTCCCCTTCTCTACTCACACCCGAGAGAAACCCGGAGAGCTGCTTCGCCGGCCCACTCCGTCAGCTCGATCCCACCGCTGTGAGAGGACCCGGCCCCGGGCACGGCGGTGCCGAGCTGAGGCTGCTCCCGGAGCCCCCGCCAGCCCGCCGCGTATCCCGGCCCGCCCCGCAACGGGAGGCGGGCGGCCGTCGGCACGCCGAGCCCGGCGCCGGGCGGCGGCTTCTCCCCCTGCCCCGCTCCCCCGCCCGCGGCTCCCGGGACCCGTCCGAGCCGGCGGCGCGGCTCCCGGCTCTTACCGAGGCGCGCAGGGGAAAAGCTCCCGACGCCCGCAATCCCCGTTCCGCAGCACGGGCTGTTGTAGCTTTTTTAGAGGAGCCGAGAAGAGGGAAAGAAGGGGAGGGGGCAGGGAGGAAGGGAAGGAGGAGGGAAGGGATTGAGATCGAGGGAGAGAGAAGTATGCGAAGGCAGGAAGTGGGGACGGCCACGGCCAGTGCGGGAGATTAATGGGAAGCAGCCGGCCGGCCGCCAACAAAGAGCCCCGGCGCGGGGCTGCGGCGGCGAGCCGGGTCCGAAGCGGGCGGGAGGCAGCGGAGCGGAGCGGAGCGGCGCTGCGGGGAGACGCGGCGGGCAGGGGGGAGGGGGGGGACAGCCGGGAGCCCGCGGGACGGCCTCGCCTGAGGAGCAGCGCCGGTTTTGTCTTTAAGGACGCTGACAGCGCTCGGGAAGGACGGGGGAAGGAAAGCTCCCGCCGGGCCCGCGCAGCCCCACGTGCTTCCAACGCGCGCCCCGCACGGCGGGTTGCACGCACACAACGTGATGTGTGTACACACGTGTTCCCAGCTGCAAAGAAGCATCTCAGCACCGCTTCAGCGTGAAGCACGTGCTTACTCTCCATCCTTTGGCTGCTCCCGCAGCCCGAGCCGTCACACACAGCAGAGATAACTCGGCTGACGCATCACCGCCAACACAACGAGGAAAGCTGGCGCGAGCGCCCCGCGTTTCTCAACCCGCCATTCTGTTTCAAGAAGCCGAGCACGAAAAAAGCTCATCCGGCTCCTTGTGCGAAAGCGCGGTTCCGAGCACGATCTGCCCGTGCCGCCGGGCTGCGGACGCGTTTATCAGCCGGGAGCTGCGTTTGAACCTCCCGCTCCGGCCTCTCCGCGGAGCGGGGCGGGGCGCCCCCTAGCGGCGGTAGGGCGGGACGATGGGCTGCGGCGCATGCGCACACTGTGACGGCGCGCGGCTGCGGCGGCAGGATGGACGGGGCGCGCGCGGGGCGCACGGCGGGGTTGGCGCGCGCCGTGCTGGAGCGGGCGCGGCGGCGGGAGCGGGAGCGCGCGGCCTCAGCCCCGGTCAGTGCTGCGGGAGGGGCGGGGTCACCGCGTTCTGCAGCGCGGCCGCACCGCGCTTCGTTAAGCGTGCGCTTAATGGCAGGAGGAAGACTCGGAGCGGCTCAGCGCTGCGTTCGCCTCCGTCGTGAGTTTCATGGCCCAAGCCACGCGGGAATGCGAGGTAAAAGCCCCGCGGCTCAGCCGGCGGCGCCGCCGTAAGCCCGAAGGCGAGCGAGACGGCGTCGGTGTTCGGGAGCCGTTGCGCCCTCCGACCGGAGGCGGTGCGGGGCGCTCCGTCTGCCGGCAGGTGGCAGCACCGCGCGGCCGGGCGGCACCCGGAACCCGATTGTGATGCCTCTGTGTATCGCTTTCCGTTCCCACGTGCAGAAGTACTACAGCCTCGTGCCGGCCTGCAGGCGCGGAGAGCACGAAGCGAAACACGTCTGCAGGTACCACGGCCGGCAAGCGGGAGAGGAAGAGCTGGAGTCCGCCGAAGACAAGGTAAGGAGGGTCTGGTGTCCTTTGGGAGGCTGTTCCTTCCGTCTCCGTGGGACAGCTGCGGTGTCTGTGGCACCGGACTCAGAGCATCCCCCTCTCACGGACTGAAATTACCTTTGTGTGGTTATGATCAGAAAACTGTCTTTTCTTTCCAGAAAAGTGCGGCTTCTGCAGCACCCAGTCGAGCTAGAACTTGGCAGCCACGTGTAAGTTTACAGAATGATTTGTTTTCAAGTGTGTGACGTTTCTTTATCAGTTTACAGTCAGGCGTGGAGATCTTGTGACAGCGCACACAGTGTGTTCACCATCCCAGAGTAGAACAGGCAGAGACTGACTCAATTAATTATAGAATCATAGAATCACCAAGGTTGGAAAAGACCTCCAAGATCATCCAGTCCAACCATCCACCCACTACCAGTATTTCCCCACTGAACCACGTCGCTTAGTACAACATCTGAACATCTCTTGAACACCTCCAGGGATGGTGACTCCACCACCTCCCTGGGCAGCACATTCCAGTGCCTGACCACTCATTCTGAGAAGACATTTGTAAACCAGACCGTGGCCAGAACTAGTCAAGAGTCTCCCAGATTTTGGGCTGATACAGACTGTCAAAACATTGTGAATGATTTGTAGACAGCTGTGATTTGCACCAGCAGCAATAATCCAGCAGTCTTCTGCTCTCGTCTCATTTGTGCTCCTGCCACATTCACCGTGCTGAACAAAGCACGCAGCAGCTGCTTGGCCAGTTATGCTTGGCCCTGATACAGCCCCCTCTGAAGTCTGCTGTTCCTCCAGGAAAAGAAAACTTAATCGTTTTTTAAAGCCAAACACCTCACCAAGTCAATTTCAGGAACTTCTAAGGCACAAAAGATGAGAACCATGGAAACTGTGCCATAGTATGAATTGATGAGATTAACTTGGTGTATGGATGACTTCCTTTGTTATGTTCAAAACAGTTTAAGGTGACAGCCTTTCAGTTTTGTAAGTAGAGATTACAGCCTGTTAATTATTTCCATGAATTAAATCATTAAATACTTTGAGCATGACACTTGTGAATAAAAACACTTTACAGTTCTGTCTCTGTATCGCCCATATATTCTGAAAAAAGATACACAACATTTAGATAGCAGTTTAAATGACTTTTTTTTTTTTTTTAATTCAAATTCCAAGTTTATATTTTTGTGGGAAATTTAACATGATTAAATAGTAAAGAAATCTGTTTATTCCCCCTCTCTGGCCCGTAAAGACCAAGAAAGCTTCCAAAGACATCTACATCGAAGTCTCTCCTGGCATTTATTCTATCACAGCAACTTCAGAGGACATGGTGAAACAAACCCACGTGGTGGACGTCAGTGCTGGACAAAGCATTGATTTGACTTTTGTTCTATGACGTTCATCTTTTGCTGGCAATCATGGGAATAAAATACTAGGATTTTTTAAAGCATATAATGAATTATGTGTAACTATTTCTTAGTAGCATTTTAATACAATCCTCTTCTTTGGGAGTCCATTTTTATGGCCTGTATATTTATTTGCTAGCTTAATGCAACTCACTTTGTACACTGATTTTATAAATATTTGTACATTGTGTCTCTTAATTCAAATCATGCAACTATGTAATTCCAGGTTCTTAAGCTTGAAACAATTAAAGATACAATCAGTGGAATAAATACATAGTTTGGTCTTTGTGATGCCTGTTTCTTTTATATTACCCTCAGGCAGAAAGTCCACGTCATGTTCTTACCCACAGAAAACAAGATCCCAGTGGTGTGAATGCAGACACATACACCATCTCTGGCACTAATTCTAGAGCAGCTGACCATCCATCTCAAGTATATTTCCCTTATCTACATTTTTATAATTCTGATAAAGAAACAGAATGCCATTTGGGGTGCATTTTTAATGGTCAGCAGATGGAGGAAGATCATCTTTCCCACTCTACTCTGCCCTGGTGAGGTCACAGCTGGAGTGCTGTGTACCATTCCAGGCTCCCTCAGTTCAAGAAAAACAGGGATCTCCTAGAGAGTCCAGCAGAGGGCCACAAAGATGGTGAGGGGCCTGGAGTGTCTGCTGTATGACGAAAGGCTGAGAGACCTGGGGCTGTTCAGCCTGAAGGAAAGAAGACTGAAAGAGGATCTTACCAGTGCTTATAAGCATCTGCAGCACGGGAGTCAAGAGGATGGGGCCTGGCTCCCTACAGTGGTGCCCAGCAACAGAACAAGGGGCAGTGGGCACAAACTGGCACACAGAAATTCCATCTGAACATGAGGAAAAACTGCTTTACTGTGAGGGTGACAGAGCACTGGAACAGGCTGCCCAGAGGTTGTAGAATCTCCTTCTATGGAAATACTCTAAACTATTGACAAGCTTCAAATCCTGGCTCTGCAGGCTCTAAACTAGGCTAAGAATCGCCTAGCTGCCTTTTTCAGTAGCAGGCAGTTAGTATTAGTGACATGCTCTATATAGTCTGTAATCCTTTTGTAGCTGATGGAATTAAGGTTTCAGTTAATGTTGAGAAGAATATAAAATTCAGTGGCTTGAACACTGCACACTGAGAACTGTGTTAAGCTATCTATTCCTTATTCTCTGGTGGTTCTTTTGCTTTAATCCTGAAAAAAAATAATAATAATAAAATTTTGGGGCTGTCAGGTTGTATCATTTCTCTGTTTCTTCTGGTTTCCCACAGAGAAATTGATGAGCTGAATTCCTCTGGTTAGCACTGAAGAACAGTAGACAAACTGGAGGTTTATTAGATCCTTGCTTTGCATCTGCTCAGGCTTTCAGCACTAATACTAATTTACCTGATCTCTTCAGAAATGTAAAGAGTTCACGTCCAAATAATTCAATTTAACAGCAGACTAACCATAGAGTAAAGAATGAGGATGCTGAAATGTTACCAGGTTGGAAATTACGTCTCAGTCATTAAAATGGTACAGTTATCCATAAACCTCTTCTATGAAGTGCCTAAATCAGAACTTTATTTGCTTAATAAACATAACATTGCTAATAGTACAAGCAGTTTACCTGAAATTTCAGCTCTTGAACTTCACCAGCTGTAGAGTTACTGAATTCTGATGGATCACATCTCTCCCTGCTTTAGCATGAGCTCTGCAGTTCTTTCCCTCTCTGTTCTCTGCTGATACGGTCTGTACTGCCAAGTTTGTCCTCTCCTATGCAAGTTGCTTTGCTTTATGTTTATTGTCTGACTCTGTTTTCTTTCTTGTACGTCTGTATCTTTGTTTTCCTGATGCTACAGAACCTTCCTGCTGGAAGACAGAATAAAAATCCATTGGCAGTCCATGAATGCTCTGTGTTACCACATGTATCCACTGCTATGATTCATGCTGCTGGTTTTGAGCTAGAATGAAACTCCTCTGGTTTCTTTCTAGTTTTACCAAAAGGCAAAGCACGTCAGCAGTGCACAAATATGACACTTGGCTAACACAGAGCACGCCTGTCTGGAGTTGCAAATTGGCATAAAAATCTCATATAAGCTGTCTTTTCTTGGGTTTTATTTACACTGAAGGTCAGAGATGGCCATTTCCAGAGGCACTCATTCAGGTCCCTATTTCTGCAGGACTTAATTGGGTCGATCTCAGTGAACAAGTGGCTAGTTTCTGAATGTATAGTCTTTGCTGATTGCTCACACTGTTTACTGGCATAACCTTTTCCATTCCAACAAGGAGCTTCAGGCCCTCCTCACTTTTATTTTAGTTAAAAACTTTTTTTAAATTAATGGAGAAGTCTCCTCCGTATCATAAAATTCATGGAAGGCCATAGCAGGCAATTACTATAGAAATGCCAATTTCCAAACTATTTACATGAATACTTGTTCCATTCAAACAGACCAGACCATGTCAGTAAATACAGTATTTATACAAATTACCTTACCCCTGATGACAGCTTGAAATCCTGGTATTTCACTATTCCATTCATTGTGAATTGCCCTCTGGGAGGCTGCTCAGTAGTTTCCAGCACTGCACTCAGATCAGGTGGTGCAACACTGGACATGTCCACAACAGAGATGGCTTTGGATTCCAACTTGCCCTTTGTACAAATGCTGCTGTGTCTGCCAGTTCCTTGGGGGGGAAAAAAGTGTATTTTAGCCTTAAGCATAGGGAAACCAGAATTGAAACAGACACGTTCACTTAAGAGAGAAAAATGTACTTTAAGCATTTTAAGGAATTCTTTTGGGTGATGGATTCTGCATAGACTAACTACAAAGGTTAATAAAGACACTGGCATCATTAAATGCATAGAAAATGATGAGGAAGAAACTCAGCAAGGGACACCTGCCTCCACATGAGATTCTAGTAGTTTCCCACTGGATGAGTTGCCAGAAGAAGAGTTAACATGCAAGATGAGGGGGCAGAAATGTTGGGGAGGAGGAAATAATGCATTGGCAGCTGACAGGCAAATGTATAGTATTTATACAAACTACAGGTTAATTGAGAGCCCACATGAAGGGGGGCACAGAACACGCTGGCTATTTCCCTCTGGCTGCTCCTTCCTTTTTAGGGTGTTTCAAGGTACCTGAATTACTGGCACGAGACTTGTAGTGGTTCCTTTTCCAGTATTTCCACTTGGGCCCTGCAGATTCCTCCAGCCTGGGCTTCTCAGGATGACTGGGGTCTGATTTAACAGTACTGTCCACTACAGCACTCTGAGTGGGGAACACCTCTGGATCACCCTCTGAATCAGAAGGGGAACGTGCTGCCACAGCTTCTAACTCCTCTTGTTTTGGACCTTCCAGTTCTAGAAGGTGTGGAGAGGACTTTCTGCTGGGCTCTGCCTCTTCAGATTCTCTCTGAAAGACCTGAGACTTGGGCGGAAGAGGCCACCAAACATCAAAATGGCCATGGCAGCAGCAGAAGCAGCGGACACAGGCTGATGAACAGCACATACCACCACAACGATAGTGGAGAACTGGCCAGCAGAGTGAGGAGAGCAAGCTGTGCTTAGCGTGACTATGTGCAGTGCAAACAGGAACCCAGGTGGTTTTAGGACTGCAGGAAAAAATGCACGAGTTAGCGTCAGGACTTTCTCTGTGCTTTAACCTGCTGGAGAAAGGCATGTGGATCATCTCCACAATCCTCCCACACAGAGTAGGAGGGATCCACAGTGCTACACCTCGTGGCAGCTTCACTTTCTTCTCATTCCAGAACTGAACCATAATTTCTTCATCTTCTGATGCTGTTGGGAGAAAATGCATGCAGCTGTGAGTAGCCGCTCTGCCTAGGGAGCACGTACAGCTCAGGCTCTGCAGCTTGGGACACGCTTTCTAGTCCTGCCAGCTGCAGCATCAGTGATCACCTCTCACTGTGACACTTGGCAGCATCTTTCTTCCCAGTTTTTCATCAGATGAACAAGTCAGTGTTGGCTGAGTTTTGTCATTCCTGCCAAAGCTAGCAGTAATGCTCTGGGGACACACTACCCATATTTGAGCAGTCAGCAGAGCCTGTCAGACACAGGAAAATGAATGAGCTGCTGAAATACCATGCTTGGGTGATAAGGTCACCCCCAGGATGCATCCTTCAGTATAAGCATGAGCACTCTAGCACAGACGGATGCTTCCTGAGAGCTGCCACTTTTGGATCTCTCAGGAAAAGGCCATTGTCCTTCACGCAACAGACACAGCCCCACCTGAGCATACAGGAAATTGCAGAGCCGTGGATATGGAAGGTGACGTTTTTGTGGGTCACAGCTTCCTTAGGGTCAGACAGGCAAGGTTACAAGCTGATATCCATCTAAGGTCATATCAGCTACATCAGCTCCTGGAAGCCTTAAGTAATGCTATAGTGAGTTCACTGACAGCTCTCTGGCAATAGCACAACAGAGTTCATTCCAAGAGTCTCACTTGTGTTCCCAAGCAAGGCAAGCAAGACAAGGGCAGCATCCTTCTTACCTCGTAAGGGGTCCCTTGTCTCAATGCCCGTGAGGACTGTTCCAGGGCCATACCTCACCAAATCTGGTTCCCAAGGTGCCAACACTTTGTCTCCCGGCAGCAAGGAATGCTTCATGCCATTGGTATACTCCAGGATGTCATCCTTTGCTGTTTTCTGCACACATACTGAATGCCTTCCATGCAACTGAAGTGGTCTGGTAAACTCTACCAGGAACATTCCCCTTTCATTCTGTTACCAGGAAAAAAACAGTATCTCTGAAAAACACATTGTTGTGCATCAAGTCATGTAATCACCAGGTATAGTCCCACTGGATTTTACAAGGCACACTGCATGCACCAGGCACACCAAAGCTGTTCTTTAGGCACGTCCAAGTCCTTCCTCATTACAAACAACATGAACTCACTGCTGGGGAGCTGCTGGAATTTTTTATTTTCTTGTAAGCTAAGGCCTGTCAAGAGGCTTTCAATCAACACTGAAACAAGACACTTCCCTGTTCTTGAGAAAGAATAGACTCTTTTTCCCCCTTAAGTTTGAAGTGCTAACAAACTGATGAATTAAAGCTTTCACTAACATTTCTGAAGACACTGTGCCATTGGTCTGCAGCTGACTCAAGCTGGCAGTGTGTACATAACACACCACCAAACGCTTTTCCTGCACTGGTGGCTATGTGTCTATACACAACAATGGCCAGCACGCCGTTCACAACAGCTCTGATGCCATCCAGGCCTGACACAATGCCCAGCACCAGCAGAGATGAGGCCCTGCTGTGCACACAGAACTCAGGCAGTACACAAGGACTGCTGCAGACTGCATCCACCACACTCAATCTTTGCCACAGGCAGAGGGGTGTCCTGCAGCCACACTGACTTCACCCACCTCACCTTGAGGTTCAGTGGATGGCCCACCTGCAGGTGAACAGATCTGACTGACAGTGCACACACCATGACACCTACCCACATGACTACAGCACAGAGACTGTTGCTCACCTCCACCTCCTCTTTTACTGTACCATGGTAATAAAATCCATCATGCTCCCCTCTCACCAGAACAGGGACATTTTTGGCTAAGATCTCTGATCTCCTCTGCCATGTTGGGCCAAGGGAGGGGAGGCAGCACCCAATCCATTGGCACCTTGAATAAAAGAAAATTGGTCAGTGGTGAGAGAAATCAGCTTCTGTAGGTCAGGCAAAAGTATATATGTATCTTCTAAGATGTAAGAACAAGGTTACTGCACCTCATTTTGTAGAACTCCCACTTTTTACCCAGTTCTCTTCTGTTTGGGGTTAAGAGGAAGAAAGCTAAGAATATGCTGGAGACCTTGGCCAGGATCACTTGCACTAACACCTTTTCTGACTACATGGCATGTTAACACAACCCTTAAGATCAGGCAAGAGAAAAAGATGCTCCAGCACAAAGCACAGCTTAGAGGTACTCGAGCACTGTAGCTGACAGTGTAAGCTCAAAACAGGGAAATAATTCCCTGTCACATAGAATTAGAACCATTTCACAGAAGATCACTGCTCAAGCAAAATGCTTTTTTTTTAATCCAAGTAATATTAAGGACGACTTCTTTTGAAAGCAAGTTTACCCCAGGCTTTGCTTTCCATAATCTCCAGGGTAGCAAATCATTTTAATTAATGCAAGAACTGCCATCATGAGGGTGAGGAAAACACAAATGATATTCAAGTTGCTAATGTATTAACCTGACACACCCCAGCCTTTTTTATCCTATTAGATATCATGCAAAAGAACAAATCACAGATCCAACAAAAACTTAATTTTACCACAGGGGAGCGAGGGTGTTGGTGATCCAGGCAGGATGCTGCATGGTGAAGGAGCTCCTGCAGCAGGGGTGGATAGCAGGGATGGCACTGGAGCACAGGAACTTGTCCAGAGCTGGCATCATGTTGCAGCACCTGTGGCATATGGGCAGGAATCCTTCCAAATGAGCCATTCTTGCAAAGGCAGCTTCCTGCAAGACTAAAACACGAGCTGTCAGTAGTTGAAAAGAGACAACATACTGATATTTTTCAAGCCAAGCAAATGTTTTCCAGATTACCCTCAAGATCTCAGTAACTTTTACTAATTGCTCGCTTTAAACAAAGACTGAATTCAAAGTATCCAGTCTGGTGTTTTGTCATGTGGACCCATATCACTGACTTCAGTGTCTTCCACTCATTCAAATTTGTGGTTGGCAACCTTACCCACAGCAAATGAGTTGGAAATGGATGATCTTTGAGGTCCCTTTCAATCCAAGCCAGTCTGTGAGCCTATAAATCTCTATCTAGTAAAGGGACATAAACATCCAGGGAAACACTCTTGCTGTGGAAATCCTAAGGAAAGCAAAGTTCTTAACTAGCTCCAGCTTTTGTTCCCCTCTGTAACATGCAGCTCTTCTCTTATACCTACACTCTCCTTTATAGCCTCCTTATACACTGAGCCAGCCCAACCCTCCCCATTCTACAAGCTAAAACAGAAACTGCAGCTGAAGTTCACACAGTTGAGCAGACAGCTTCTGACTGCAGTGCTAGAACAGAATTGCCCATGATATATTAAGAGGAAATATTTTGATCTCCCGCTGCCCTGTCATGTTTTGCAACAGTAGGATTATGTCTTGCCACCAGAAGAATGAGATGCAGAGATTTCATAAGCACTAATTACTCACAGGTTGTCACGTTAGGATTCATGAGGTGGTGCCCTCTCTGATAATCTTACACATACATATATATATTTTGTTTAGAAATATTCAGCATGCTGAGGGTAAAATTTGCAGTAGATTGTGAGCAATATATAAACCAAGTGCCTAATTTACCTTTATTTCGTCTCATAAAAGATACAATCAGCAATTCTATCATCTGCAAACTGTACACAATTTCAAACACACAAAAAGGCAAGTAAATAACTGCTGAAAAACATGTCTTATAAAGAGCAAATCAACACATCAAACTCAAACTTAATATACAAGTGAAATTACAAAGTGAAACAAGTTGGAATCCATAATGTTTTCTAAAGGAATGCAAATTCCAGTACTGTGTTACAGCCCACTGTAAAGCTGCTCAGAGCTGTCCTGCCAAGAGCCAAGTATTGCACAGATGTACAAAGCAGGGCTCTGACAAAGGCAGCTATGGAGCACTATGAGATTTCCTGAATAGTTCCACACATTTGGACCCAGAAGCTTTTCAAACTTACCAGCTACTGATAACACTAAATCTTGATCGTTTGTACTTAGCCTTGAGACAGAAACCTCGTCCTTCTGCCCCGCTGGATGCAGGAAGCATTTGTTGCCAGCACTTTCTAGTTGCTAAGGAGGTCAGCAGCATGGCTACCACTGGGAATTGAAGCACTGACCTGACCCAGCTGCAGAGATGACTCTTTGCCTGCCATGTACCAGCCCAATTGCTGCTAAATGCAGCTCTGGTGAGCCAGCTATTGCACTGAGAGACTATGGGGGCAAAGAAAGGATTATAAAAGGGCAAAACATCCTCCAGCCCTTCACATATAACATAAGGTAAAAGAAATGTATCATCATTCAAAGCTGCAGTTCAGATCTACAATCATAAAGCACCACCACAAATATATTGGTTGGAAACAAGGAGAGTCAAAGCTGGGAGGAACTGAGATCAAATCCCTTTACAAACTTCTCCTTTCCATAATAAAGGGGAAGAATTTGTGAATTCTCCCCCTTTCCTCCAAAGCATGTACAAAGCAAAATCACAGAATGGCCTGGGTTGAAAAGGACCACAATGATCACGTAGGTTCAACCCCCCTGCTATGTGAAGGTCACCAACCACCAGACCAGGCTCCCCGGAGCCACATCCAGCCTGGCCTTAAATGCCTCCAGGGATGGGGCATCCACAACCTCCTTGGGCAATCTGTTCCAAAATGTCAGAGAACCATACTGAAATCTTTCTGCTAATCTCTACTGTGATCCCTATTCTTCATTTCCTCCTTAACAAATGTTCAAACCTCGATATGTGATATGTCTGTGCGGTGCAGGCAGGGAAATACTTAATTGCATTTAGTAGGCATTTTTCAATTCACTACTATTAAAACATGAGAACAGAGGGATGGATGACTGTAATTAAGGACTGCCAGCTCTTACAAAGTCTGGAATTGTTTTCTCTACATTTTGCTGTAACCAGAGATGAACTGCTCTCGTGCTGCCAGCCAAATTGCTGCTAAATGCCAACCATGACACACGGCAAAAGTTAAGAACATTTTGCTAATCACAAGATAAAACTCTCTTCACCATCTTGGCATAAATCTGTTCTACACTGATTAGCTGAAATCATCGATAACACAGAGAAACAGACTAAGGGGAATAGGATCCCAGAAGAATTTCTTTCGCAGGACACAATTCTTCCCAGGCCAGAATCTTGCCAACCCTCTCTGTATTGTGCAACCAGTCCTAATTTTTAAGTGCATGGAGAGATGGAAAAGAATTTCCATAGAATTTCAATAGAAATTAGGCTGAATCAACAGTTTTGAAAGAGATCAAAATTTTTACTCATAGGAATAAAACTGCATTTGCAAGATGTCATGCTCTTCCTACGCCCAGTGACAATGTTTCAGAGAACTGCTCCCTTTTCCTTCCACTTTTAAACTAAATTATCCATTTTGTTGGCTTTGAACAACATTCCTTTATTTACCTTTATAAAGACCACCTCGCTTTCTAAGAGAAACACTGGCAATAAGAACAAAAAACTATGAAAGAGCATAGGAGAGCAAACCAGTCACATTACTGAAAAATAAAGGAATTTTAGCCTCACCACTGGAAAGACTTTATTTTATTTCAAAGCACGAAGAATGTGATGGCACATACAATTAATTCACACTTGTAGGTATTGTATTTTTTGTTCGGTAACAATTTTAGATGTGCTTTCCAATTTCCATGAATTATCTGAGGCCACTCAGATGTGATTTTCCAGTCACACTTCTGTAAGCGCAGTTACTACCTTCAAAACTAAAATGCTTTTCTGTGGGCTGGTATCAATCTGTAGTATGATCTGCTCCTAGATGTTTCAGGAACATCATGAACATCATAGCAGTGGCTACCAGGCTTCCATGCAGGATATCTTTCCCTTGATTTGGAACAGTTTAGATAGCCTTCAAAAATTGGTTTTGTTTGTTAATTGCTTTAGGTGCTTGGCTTGGCTCCATGACATTTTTGTCTGCTGCCATGGAGTCACTGTACAGAACAGACTGTAGGTACCTGATGTATTTTATTGCTGCACGGAGAGTCTCTACTTTGCTGAGCCGTTTCTCTAAGTATTCCTTAGGTAAGTGATGTCTCAATTTAGCATAGCCTTCATTGACACATTTAACTCTCTGCCTTTCCCTCTCATTCCTCTTCCTGATGAAAGCAGGCCCATAGGAGTACTCACTCCTGTTGTAATTACAGTGGGGTATTTGGTAGGAAAAGCCACAGGGCTCACTGTAGAAGTTCTCTGTGATGAAATGGTCAGACATGAAAGGAAGAAATGACAGATCTTCAGAGCAAGCGACCTGGTTTGGTGTTTCTGGGTACATGTGAAACATGACGAGTGGGTCTGCACAGAAAGGCCGGGGCAGCTGTATGCACTGAGTGTCAGCAGAAATGGCCAACTTGTCCATGAGATTACAGTAGCTTTTCCCATCCATCAGGTTCTGCATTTAACCTGGAAATGCATAATTACAAATCACTTTAAACAACTCATGCTGTTCAGGACAAAATACTCACCTGTAATTACTAACTGGCACTTGCCAGGTGAGACTTCTAATGTATTTGCAACATCTCAGAACAAAAGATGGCAGAAAACATCCTCTTTGAGAAAAACAAGAGGATGGAAATTGGCTAAAGTGTTTTTAAAAAATGCACAACAGATCTTAAGAAAATAAACTGTTAACACTTTCTAAAGGAAAGAGCAAACATTCTCCTTTCATCTCTGCTTTAGAAATGAGAAGGATCCACCTTTATGAGCCCCATAGAAATCTAGCTTGCTCCAAACTTTCATCTTTACAGAAAACATAAAGCAGGCCAAAACTGAAGGCATTCTCTCCACCCCATTGACAATTCCAGTGACAGACTCTCTACCAAAAAAATCTTCAATGACAAATTACTTCTCTATTCATTTGATATCTCATTCACTGTACTGTTTTGACTCGATGTAAAACCAGCACAGGGAAGGGATCCCAATGTTAACTTTAGGTCTGTAAAGTATTCAATTTACTCTTCATCTAAGCTTTAGAAAAGGCCTAGAGGATGAATTATGGTTAAACCTGACACCATCTTGGGTCCTCTTGTTTAATACACAGACAAGTGGAGAAACACAGAGATGAAATACTAAATTTCAATTTTAAATTATTTTACATAATAGCTACTTAAAAATATATCTAAAGCATACAGTTACCTTTTTAAAGAATTACAATCCATCCTTACCAATTGCAAGCAGTACTTCCCAACACAAAATCTATCCAAAAATGCTCCTTTAACATCTTCCTCATCTATACTTTCCATTCTAAGATACTTAGATTATACCCTCCATAACAGAAAAAGCACATGAACACAAAGTAGGTTACCAGAAACATCTAGACTGCACTACTCACAACAACCTTGAAAAGCTTCAAATATTCAGATCACAGTTCCATAACAAATTGGATTCTCTTAATCCCTCACAAGGATAGAGATATTAGAAAACATTAAAATAATTTCAAACTTGCCACTTTCAACACTAAGAGAATTTTCACTCAATAACCCAATCTAACAACATATTCCATCAACGTACATCTGCATTCAGTGCTATTTGTTTTTTTCTTATCAAAATGGATCTCAGTACAGAAATCTTGGGAGTTCAGAGTTCTTTATAGCATGCTGTTAGACAAGAGAGACAGTCACATGCATCTTAAATGGATCTTTCTATAGGCACACTGATGGCATGCAGACACATTCATTTTGAATTAATAAAGATACTCAAAGATTAGAAGTGAATATATACATTCATAAAACAAAAGCAGCAGATAATCATCTCTTTTTTAACACAAGTTGTGTTGTTCTAAACATTTTTTACTGTGACATCTTGAAAATATTGTCAGAATGAAATAAAATCAATGAATAGCAAAAAGTTAATAGTAAAGTATCTATATACAGCAAGAAACCAAAAACATAGCCCCTTGTGATACTTGCAGTATTTGTTTTGCACCAACAATTCTGCTGCATAACAGCATTCCATAGAACAGTTGTCTGTTGCCTTACTGTCTGCACTGAGCACGTTAGAATCCTCTTCCCATTAGACCAGAGACTCACCAATCTTCAGAGGAAAGTAAAATCCAAGGAAGCAAGACGTGCTAATTTTAAGACTGCTGAGTAATACCTGAAAATATCTAAACGATATTAAAAAGAAAAGTTAATGTTCCAGTTTCCTTGCATCTTATGTAACGTAGTAATTGATCATATTAAACACAATGAATTAAAAAGCTACAGACTACAGAATTAAAAGTTACTGATTGGCTGATAGAAGTGGTTTAGAGAAACATGGAAATTCAGTGAAGATCTGTTGCTAGATACAGCAATACACAGTTCCCTTACCTGAATCATGCACTTTGTTCCACTGAGTCAATGGCTCCTGCAATTTATAGCCAATTGACAACATGCAAAGTAGCTTACAGTTAGATCTGCTCATTTCTGGTTTGGCTTTTCCACCCACACTACAGCTATGATGGCAACAAGACTTGGCATTAAGGACTAGAAATTTTAAAACTGTATTGAACACAACTGGATCACCTGAAAAAGTAAATCAGGAACATACTTTGCTTATGCCCTGTTACAGTTTACTAAACAAGCATTTTCCTTTACTGGAGCTTCATACACTAACATTTAAATTTAATTATCAGCTAGAACTTAGTTAAATACTGTTAAAATGAACACACATTTGAATAAGAGCATGGATGAAATTAATATTACATTTCATGGTCATCTCACAAGATCCGATTTGTTCCCAGTTCTTTTAAATTCTCTTCCACTTTGCTGTTTGAAAGCCTCAATACTAAACTCAAATATCAGTCCTAATTCCCTTTTTTTCCCTCCCCTTCTCCTCCTCCCCCATCTGGAGCAAAGTTCTGCATCCTCCTTCTACTCCAGCTTCAGACCTGATCAGAAATGCAGCCAAGATATAAAGCACCTATTAGAACTGAAAGGTAGGCACAAATGCAACAAGTTATTTTTCTTTAGGGCATCCTATGTACATCACTGTCATAACTGATCATTGACTCATCAGGGTTAGACGCCAACACAACTGTGTTTTTTGCTTGTTTGTTTGTTTTTATCCTGTCAATACACCCTGTGCTGTTTTGTACTTAGAGGGAGAACCATACACCTCCACTAATCAGGTGCCTGTTATAATTACACCCAGATTAATTGTGGTTTTGGAAGCCTACAGGATTGAGAATACAATGAAGAGCTGCATCTGCCAAAGAGATGTTGTCATTGCAAATGTTATGGGACAGCTTATGTTTCCACTCAAGGTACTGAAGAGCTATGCATACAGGTACAGTCTATTTTCCACACTATTTTGCTCCCACTCTGTCAATTATGAAAGTCAAAACTGTACCTGCCAATATATAATACTGTTATATGAAACCATTTCCTTTGGCACTGGAAATGAAAATCATTGCAACACAATAATATAACTAAATGTGCCTAGCTAAATTTCAGTCAGGGATTAAAAACTTCTTCCAATCAGCAATTTAGTGAGCCTTTCTTTCCCTTAGCACTAAACAACTGCGTATTTCCACTCAGAAGCATTTTCAAATAACTGTTCTTATAAATGCAATTTACATGCAAGGGTAATGAGGGAGAAAATGATGACATCTAGATAATGTGCATCTGTTTTTCAAAAATCAGTTTTAATTGTTACACTCCAAAGAGGATATATGAAAGTTAGTCATCTAGCAACTGTATACCTCTTAAGAGAGATGAACACAGAATCACAGATAGAAAAATACACCTAACTCCCAAGATGACAGGTGCTCAAGAAATTATGTGCCTTATACCATCAATCCAGACAAATGCAGAAAGATTCTTATAATAAATATTTCATTATATACTAGCTCCTGAGACTTTACCCATGAGAAGAAAGGAAGATTTCTTTTAAAAGATATCGTACACATACAATATATTAAGCTTTTAAAGCAAAATAGAACAAAATGTCAACACTGCCTTGAAGTGCACTGCATTTGAGTTTATCTACATCACAGTACTTCAAGTGTGCAGCTCAAAGAGTCAGTGTCCATTTAAGTTCAGCCTTATTTCTGCAACCACCCGACATACAAGCATCTTGAAAGTACAAGTGCAAGAAACCAAATGAGGAATACAGCCAATCAAAATTTTGCTCTGACATGACAACTGCACTGCAAGATTTCAATTTCCAATACCTCACATCAGCCTGAAGAAAAATCCAAATATATTTACAAAAGGTCTTTACATAAAGAGAGTAGTGAGTTGTAAGTAGTTACAGTGTTCCCAGGTACTTCTGACCACATAAATAATAAAGAGAAATATATAGTTAAAAATCACCATAAAGTCACAACTGTAAATAAGGTATCACAGTAGCAAACAAAGCAAGCTATCTCAGGGTTTGTTTTCTTTTCGGTTTTATTAGTAAGAGACAACTGAAAATGTAAAGATTTCTAGCTTTTGGTTAACTAATTTCTTTTATCTGCTTCCACTTTAGTATATTCTTTCAAATTTTAAATACTTCATATATATATGTTTGTTTTGTTTTTTTAAAATCAGAAAAGAACAACTGAAGAAAACCCTTTTGAAGTGGTAGGTTCAGGGAGACAGAAATCAGTTCTTTCAGTCTGTCTGCTTTACTTCTTGGAGTTAACTGCTGAGAGAATTAACTCAGCACAACGTGACGGTCAAAAACAGACTTGCGTTGCTCTTGGACCTGCAACTTCCAGCGCTGCTGGGCATACTCCACTTTGTTCAATACGTTGGCACGGCTCCGAGAACGAGCTAACACGTCATGAGCATTTGCAAACGGCTGGTGATCCTGGAATGGCAAAGATCCTTAGTTACATCTCATTAATTCCATCAAGCAATTGAATTCAATGTTTTATTTTGTTGGTGATTTTAAGGGAAAATGAGCTATTTTAGCCAGCTAGTCAGTCGGAATGACAAAGCAAGTTTTCAGATAGTTAAAACTATGCTTCTCATCCCAAGTAACCACCAAAGATTTTCAAAATAGACCAAATTGTGTCACTGCAATCTCACAGAACAGCTTAGGTCGGAAGGGACCTCAGAGATCACTGAGCTCCAACTCTCTAACACAGCCAGGGTTGCCAATCACTGGATCAGGTTGCCCAGGGCCCCATCCAACCCAGCCCTGAAAGTCTCCAGAGATGGGACATCCAGCCTCCATGGGCAACTTGTTCCAGTGCCTCACTACTCAAACTCCATTAGTAGCTCAAATCTAGGAAAGACAAAGATGCCAGGACCCTCCTGTTATTGTCATGAATGTACTTTCTTTAATGTCACTTAAACAGTGATTTAGTCAGTTTTCTGCCAGCTCTCAGCCTGTTACTGTACAGCAGTTCAGGACGTTCATATAAAGATTGTATGTAAAACCAACACACTCCACTGTTTACCAAACCAAACCTATTGTACCAAGCTGTCTGAAAGCAAAGTGTAAATACAGCTGTTTAAGTGATAGAGCTCAACAATAACTGGAAGCTTATTTAATATTTACTCTGCCTGTTTTCCATCAATACCTGCAAAGCTTTGTTTTCTTCTAATAAATAAAAGCAGGTTATAAAAGTAAGAGTTGGAATTGAACTTCTTATTTGGCTGTCAAACTGTTTTGGACAGTCATGTTTCTAAAGCTACATCAGAAAGCATCGTATGTAAACTACATAATAAAAAAATAATATAACTACATCCTGTATTAAATAGTTATTTGCCATTTATATATATATATATACACCTCACAGTACATTTTTGTTGTTGTTCCAGAATGCTTTTAAAAACACTGACATGAATGGATACTGTATCTGCAACATAATTCTGTACAGAATAGCTCAATGATGATTCTTAACAGTGGAATGATTAATATTAAGGATCTCAGTGGACGTCTACAAATGCACATATGGGCATCACTGAGCTAAGAAATATGCTAAAAACAAGACAGTCCCAAACTGAAAGAGCTATGAACTTACATGAAAGATTATGCAGTTGGATATATCTAGAACAGTAAGTTCTAGATCTAGTAAGATCACAAACCACTTCATTTGTAGGGAAGTAAAATCACAATAGAAATACGTTTCCTCCATAAAATAAATGGAGGAAAGGATACCATAAGACAAGCTGGATGGAACTGGCAAGCTAGCTTCTCTCAATTTCAATGTAAAAAGGAAAGAGGGAGTGGACAGAGGGTACAGAAAAGGGAAAAGGTCTCACAAACTGACTTGTATTCACCAGTTGCCACTGCCACCCATGGGCAACAGGAAAAAGCAAGCACACTGTAGCAACTAAATCAACACAGATGGTATTTCCAGAGTGAGACAGAGATCAATACCTAAAGAGCTTGCAAGAGGGAAGACAACAAAAAAGGCAAGAAAGGCAAAAAGTCACGAAGAACCTTCAATTCACATTTACTGTCCCAGAAGAAGGGACAATGGGAAATGAGGAACATGAAATAAGAACCGAGCTTAAGAGCTTTTTGTTCCAAGCACTGCTGCAGACATAAGCAGTAGCAACTTCACAAGCACACAAGGGTCCCACTAAGTTACAGCAAAATTTGAACTTGAAAAACCACAGGTACAGAGCACAGCATTTACCACTTCTATTGCCTTCACATTTATGAAGTTCCTGAAGCAAGAGGCAGTAGAACTGCACAGGGCTTTTTTTTCAATACATTTTGTAAGTGCTGCCATCATAGTTTTGTTTCACCACGAACGAGCATATTTATCTCCTCCTATTAACTGCCAATATAATAGAAGGAATGACAAAAATCTTCTTTAACACTAATAAATGCTGCATATCTTTCTGACTAGCTTCCGTTTATTTCAGCAGTACTTGCTACAAAATGTTTATGTCTGCTGAAAGGTTATGCAGATGGAAATCTTCCTGTCTCATAGACCAGGTCTGGTTTTGAAAATGCTAGCTGAGATTATTCTACATCTGATGTGTACCTCACCATTAGAAACAGAGCTGCTTCAAGACTCAGTATAGAAATTATATCGATGCTGAGACTTCAAAATTGTGTTAACAATTGGTATGACATAACACCAACACAGCTCCCATTTAAAGTACTTACCCCATATCAGTTTGTGGCAGTAACTCACTCAGACAAGCAGATTCATCAGCTTTATAGAAAACCTTAGATCTGCTTAGCCATAGTCCTTGTTTTTATACAATTCTAAGTCCCTCTTCAACACAGAGATGCCCTACTCCCACCAGTCATTCCTATCAACACTGATCAGGTACTACATGTATCACTGTTTCCAATGCAAGGTTTTGTAAGGTTTTACACTCCCTTCCTGTAATGGTACTTAACAACAACAAAAAAAAAAGTGCTCCATCGTTATTAGAAGCCAAAAACGCTGTGCTGGCAATGGGAAAGGCCAGTAAGAGAAAGATAACCATTTGTCATCATTTGTCACTGATGGACTAATTCCCTTTTTTTTTTCCTGAAAAAGGCTGTTCTGATTTGTAGAAATGTATCACACTCCAGTTTTTAGTTGTAATACAAATAAATTATTTTAGCATCAATCATTACATTTAGCATTGATAAATACAAACTGAAGCAACAGTTCAGTGAGCATACACTTTCTTTTTGGAGAAAAAAATCTAAAATCAATATATATAAAACTAAGAAGATTGTACTGATTATGAGCACATCAGAATTTGTACTTCCCACATGAGTTTACCTCCTTTCCTCCATTCTTTCTCTGAGAAAATGATCTGCGTTTAGAGCTGGACTAACAGAAGCAATCCTCATCTTAATACTTTCTAGACAAGTGAAAAATGAAAGCATGGCACACAGAATCACCACATGGTTTTCTGACTACAGTGAAGATCACCCTCTCCCTTCAGGAAAAGAATTTAAATTGCCTTGCAGAAAAATCTTCCCAAATAATCACTGAAGAGTTAACCCATGCATACAAGTGGTTGGATGAACTCACCCCAATGTCTTCATCACTCTGTATGAGCTGTGAATGTCCAAAGAGACGTCTCTTCAGTATGGGTTCCACTAGTGTAAGGTACACCATGTACAGAAGAAGTAGGCCCAAAATAGACAAGTATATGATGATTGTAACCTGCACAACACAAACATTATTTATCCCAGAGTTATGACATTACCTCAGCCACCCCTCACCAGGCAGTGATGAACAAAAGAACTGTACAGTCAAAGTTTTTGATGAGCCTGACAACCTTCAGTAGTGTCACTGTGACTTAAAATTCACAAACAGCAAAAAGCCATCATCTATTAAATTGGTATTACAAGGTTTAAGGGCAGACATAAATTAGCTTGAAACAAAGTCTCTCTTAGTGAGGCCTTGCTAAAGTCCTATGCTATCCTTCTTGAAACAACCTGGTGTTCTTTCACTTCAATCAAGACTACTAATCCACGGCAATTAAACTGGTCACAAATTTTGGGGTTCCTACATGGTCTCCATTCTCTAGCATAGATCCACATTCAGTCACAGAGCTCACAAAGAAAAAGGGGAAAAACACAAAATCCTAGAAAGCCTCCTAAAAAAGGAATCTGTATAACAGAAGAAAACACACAC